TGGGGGGGGGGGGGGCACCGCAGCAATGAAGTTGCCGGACATTGAAAGGGTACCTCATTGGCATCACGCAGGCTGGGCAGAATGCCCTCACCCAACAGCTCGCTGTCGACAATCTCCGACACAAGCACATGGGGTGGCTGCTGTCCTGAAGCGACGTCAGCGTCATTTGGAAAGAGTTTGGAGGCTGAGACCTCAGTGCTGGCGCCCTCGATGAGAAAAACCTGATTGGCGGTTGATTGGGCTGCCAGTGTGTGACGTGCGATGCTAGCCATGTCTTCATCCATCTGCTAGTGTGTGGTCAATGAGAGCCTTGTCATTCAGACATGCTTCATGAAGTGGGCTGTCTTCGGAAGCTGGCGGGGAGCTTGGTTGGCCCACCTCAATTGTCGTGACGGCGTGCGCGCCAAGACGTTGTGCCGCCATGACCAGCAGTCCTGTACCAGCACCAATCTCAAGCACTCGTGCGCCGGGCTGAATCAGCTGGCGTAGAGCCTCTTCATAGGCTTCGTTCTGTGAACATGGTTCGGGTTTATGAGGTAAAACCGCTGACTGACAGCCGAGCAGCGCGGGGCGAAATCAATGACAGGAGCTGCTGGCAAAAAGGGGCTCATTCGCCATTCGTACCCGGGCTACATCCTTGATCATGCACGTATCAGATGTGAGTGGAGGTAGTTCCTCTGCGGCGGTCCGCAGTTGAGGGGCAAGTTGATGGCTGGCCATGCTCTATGCTCGAGTGCTCAAACGTCGAGTTTTGTTTCACAAAATGCAGCAGCGAGAACATTACATTAATTGTCCGCAGTCCATAATCTTGACTCTCTTTTCTTTTCTTTTCCACATGAGAGAGAAGTGAAAGGAAGATAAACGCTTCAATTTGTTTGTACTGTTACAAACGTGCCAAACTGGCACACAGGGCATCAGGAACTAGCTTGATAGACGGCAAGCCCAGTCCACACACGAATGCAGACCAGGCAAGAACAGAGGCACTAAAACTTTTACATGCGTGAGTTAACACAAGAAAACACGACCAGAGAGAGTCAGACCAAAAAGACATCACGGGAAAACAAAAGACTGCGCACACTAGTGGCAGACCGAGAAGAGAGAGGGGACTGGCACAACAACCGTCGACACCTCACCCCCACCTCAAAAGAAAAAAATATCCAGAAAACACCAACTAAACCTAATATACCAGGCATTTCAGACACCCTCCTCCTCAGCAGGCAATGACTGAGGTGGGGCGATGGGAACACATGGCAAAAGCCAAAACAGAAAAAACAACAACCTAAAAGCGTGGTGGTAAATATAAGACCACTGAAGACACACGGCACTAAACGCGCACGTCACATCTTGAGTTTCACACAGCCGACCCAAGGCAATCTAAAAGAATGAACTTGGGTCGGGGTCGCCCATCAAGAGCACGGGCAAAGGCAAGGAAGCTACACGATAAGATATGGAGAAGCTAAAGAAAACAAAGTGTGTAAACACTCTTGAAATCTCAATGATACTGCTCATCCAGGAAGGAGGGGACGGCACTGGCAAAATTGTCCATGCCCAGTGAAGGCAGCATCATATCAAAGTCTACATCACCCGAATCCTCGGCATTCCAGTAAGCACCATCCATGTTGGGAAGTGAGGGGATGGGAATGTCGGGTGAGGCAGGGAGCAAATCCTCGGTAGCATCCATGCCATCATCCAGGGGCATGTCAAAGGGTGCTTCGAGCATGAGGCCAGGGAAAGCTTCCTCTTGCTCAAAGCCACCAGTCATGGGCAGTTGGTGAGACAGCTGCTGTTGGTTGGGGAGCAGCAGCTGTTGTTGGTGCTGGTGTTGTTGTTGCTGCGCCAAAGTGGGCTGCAAGAGGTGATGGGGCACATCAGGGAACTCTGACGAGGCCACGGGGCCGGCGTGGTGGTGTTGCATGCTGTCCAAGAGCGAGTCTTGATGTTGGTGCGCAAAGCTATTGAGGTTGGTGGCAAGGGAAGCTGGGGGAGCGGGACCAGCAGGCATAATGTGCGTAGGATCGACCGGCTCCACCATGTGGGCACCGTGGCGAGATTGAAGATAGACGGTTCCCGTTTGGGCATCGACGTGGTCAATGACAAACACACCGGGCAAACCGCGACGCAAGACGCGCATGCCGGGGCCGTAGGACGTCGCATGGTGTTGTTGCGGTTGTTGAAAGGTCTGCTGAGGTTGAGCAAAAGGCGCGGCGGGAAAGGAATCCTCCATGGCACTCCACTGTTGTTGCTGTTGCTGTTGCTGGTAATGGGAAATGACGTCCGAGGTGGGCTCCGCTTTGACTCGGGAAGTTGTTCGGCGCGGCGTAGAGCTACTCGAAGCGGATGAAACCACCGAGGACGTGGAGTCGCGACGCACGCGCTGTGTGGTGGTTTTGCTGTTTTTGCAGAGTTTGAAAAGCTCCTTGGTGACGGCCCAATGGAGTTGGCCCTGTTCCGACTTGAAGCAAAACAAAAAGCGCCAGATAGCATCCATGCCGTAGGTGTTGTAGGGGAGGGCACAGATCAGATCCTTGTTCTTGGTGAGATCAAAGGTAACACCCTCGCAGTGTTTCATGAGGCGCCGGCGGTAGAGCTTGAGGCGAGGACAGTTGGAGAGGTTTTTCTCCTCATTGGGAATGGCAAAGATGGCGGGCATGTCGTCACCAAAGCGGGCAATTTCCATGCCATCGGGAAAGGGCAAATTCCACAGACGACCATCGTGGCGGCCAATGCGTGAGGCGGTGGTTTTGCGGCCGTTCTGAGTTGCGAGCAAAACCTCCTCTCGCCAGGCGCCCGTGTCGTCACAGTAGCAAAGACTGCTCTGGACGGTGGCGACGACCGTGCTATCACCTTGAAAGAAGGTACACGTCTCCGCCATGGTGGGTGGTGGTGTGAATCAGACCGCGTGAGCGGATCAAAAAAAGTTGACGCACAAAGCTCGTCCGTTTATTCCAGTCAAAGGTCCGAGAACACGGAAGCAAAATGCATGCAGCGATTGCCGCGAGCACAATCGCTCAGATCAAAGGGAAGCGGCGGTGTTTGGCGGGGACGGGGACGGCCGCGCGAGCAAACACAACACAACACAACACAACACGCGTGAATGAGAGAGAGAGAGAGAGGGAGGGAGTGAGAGAGAGAGAAAATACCGTCAAACGCTTTGTGGCTTGTCTTGTCTCTTGGAAGTGAAGTGGTGAATGGCGTGGTGTTGTGGTGGGTGATGCGAGAGAACCACACACACACAACCCAGAGGACTCGATCAAGCTGGGCAAGCTGTCATTGTGAATCCAAAGTGATGATGACGATGCGCATGCCATCGTGGGTCTTTAGGGGAAGGAGAACGGGCGTAAGGGGTTCAAGGGGAAGAAGCTTAAGGGAGTAGGGAAAAAGCTTAAGGGGGTAAGGGGGTTAAGGGGGAGGCGCTAACAATAGATTAAGACAGTTGGGAGCCTGTGGTGGCGCGATATCACTTCTTGGCTTACGAACAGGGTGGTGTGCGTCATGGTTATCCATGGTCAGCGACACAATGTCCTCTCCGGGACGAGCTCGACCCATGGCCTCGAGCATGTCTATGTGTGCTTTATTAACTGTACTTCATTACCAAATTGGATTTTGGCGTGTGGTGAGCCCATGATTGTTACATGTGTCATCTAAGAATAACACGTTTTTGAACGTGTTGGAGTTTCCTCCAGAAAACACCGAGCATCCGAGCCACCCGAGAGTCGGCTGTAACGTTCCAACGATTGTCCTCAACACCTGTTCGACTTGAGTCATGGACACACCGACGGACAAATCACGAAGTCAGTGACAGTTGCGGACACTGTCCCAGGTGCACACACTTTGTGGCTCACTCGAATTTGGCGCAAGGTCTGCCATTGATCAGGGCTGTTGCTGCTCTGTGCGGCGCTACAGACTGGCGTTGGACCGGCCAGGACGGGAGAGAATAAAGTATCTTGCAATTGAACCTATCTTCATCATGGCCATCGGCCTTGTGCTGCTCTCTGGTCTGGGCCAGCGCGCGATGGAGCGGCTGGCTGGCTGGCTGGGCTTTGAATGTGAGCCCAACAGCGCCACAACGCACGGTACCAAACTACCCATGGCTACCGAGAGAAATGGGACGGTGATTGACGTTGAGGCCATGGATCCATCGGCCTCGCAGCGTATCACAAGCTATCTGGACGAGCAAGTCGAGCTGCGGCGCGTGGCCGGCCTCAGTCTTGCCGTCGTGCGTCGCGGTCAGTTGGCCTATCGCCACTTTGCCGGCGTTGTCAATGTGGACACGCAGCAGCCCATTGCCGCGGATACCATCTTCCGCATCTACAGCATGACCAAACCCATCACCTCCACCGCCATCATGATGCTCTACGAACGCGGCCTGCTGGACCTGGACGAGCCTGTCAGCAAGTACATTCCGGCGTTTGCCGACGTCCAGATGGCCACTGGACACCGACCCGATGGCACCATCGAGACGGCCCCCTGCCCCACCCCGATCACGATTCATCACCTTCTTACTCACACAGCAGGCCTCTCGTACTGGTCAGTGCGGCGATGCGTGTGGCAATGGCTTGCTGGTGTCAAAAACCTGGTGGTTGGGTCGCCTCACTTCCGTGTCGCCCGGTGCCCCCGGGTTTGGGGGCGACGCTCAGGTTTCTGACCGATGAGCACGGCGTGTCCAAGCAGTATCGTGACAATAACATTGTTTTTGCCTACGTTGATCATGGTGACGAAACGGGTGCGTGGGCCGAAAAAAAAACAGACGCACACCCCGTCGTTCTTGCCTCCCGCGCTCCGCTCTGTACATTGTCGACTTGCCGCTGCCAACTTTGAACTCACTCGCTGAATTCAGGCGGTACCCTGCTCGAAGCCGTCAACCGCTTGGCTCAGCTTCCCTTGGTCTATGAGCCAGGTACACAATGGCTTTACTCCAACGCCACGGATGTTCTGGGATGCGTGGTCGAAGTCATATCGGGTCAACGCCTGGGTCAATTCTTTCAAGAAAATATTTTTGCCCCTCTCAAGATGCACGACACGGGTTTTTTTGTGCCCGCCGCCAGCCGGCACCGCTTTGCTGCTTGCTATCGGGTCTCTGGCGCCCCCACCATGGTCCCGTCCGCCTTTGGTACAGTGCCTGTGGCACCTTTTGCGCGCCTGAACAATGACGCCTACTACAGTTCTGACCCCAAAGTCCACGCCGGTGGAGGTGGCCTCGTCAGCACCCTCCCCGATTACACGCGCTTCGTCAACATGCTCCTCAACTACGGTAGGTATCCGTGCCTCGTGCGTCGATCGGGCTGCACACATTCCCCACCTCCAATGCCGCTGCTGCCGCTGATGCCGCGCTGATGCCGCTGATGCTTGTTGCGCTTGTTTGCTCTGCAACCATTTTGCCTTCCATTGTCCTCTTCAGGCTCGCTGAACGGGCAACGCATTCTTGGGCGCAAGACAGTACAGCACATGACTCGCAACCAATTGCAGGGGGACCTGGGTGACTATGGTCAGCCGCGGTTTCTCGGTGCCAACCGTCTTGGCACGGGCTTTGGCTATGGCTTTGCTGTCGTGGTGGATCCGGCCAAGGTACGCCGCATTGTTGCCTGTTGCCTAGCCCACTGCAATTCAGGACACAGGTCTCGACTCGAATACTTTTACCCCACACTGCTCGGCATATGAGTCTGAAGCTTCTGGTTGTGTCCATCTCACCAATCTCCCGACCCTCATGTTGCTTGGCGCATGATCAGGTGCGCGCCATCGTGTCTCGAGGTGAATGCTCTTGGGGCGGCATGGCATCAACCGCCTTTTGGATTGACTTTCAGGAGCAAACGGCGTGTATTCTCATGACCCAGCTCGTACCATCATCCACCTACCCCTTCCGCCGTGATCTTCGCGCCCTCGTCAACAGCGCCCTCTTGTAGTGTGCGTCGTTCGAGTAAAGTAGCATAAATAAAAAGAAATCAACCCTTTCAAATTTTGTCTGACATCTAGCAGTCAATGCTGACATGTGTGTGTGTGTGTGTGTGTGTGTGTGTGTGTGTGTGTGTGTGTGTGTGTGAGTTTCAACGGCACACACACACATTTCGACCTCTTCTGAACAAGCCCCCTCCCCCCCCCTCTCGGGCCTGCTCCGTCCTTTGCCCAGCCTGCCGTGTCTTGCTGGTGCTACCAGACTGAGCGTGTGCTGGGGCTTGCGGGGCAGGAACAAAACGGGAGTTATAATCTCATGTGCCTTTTCGTGTAGTTGCGTTGTGCCTGCCCCCGCGAAAAGCGTGCCCATGGCCAATTCCGACGAGTGGTCGCAGCTGGCTACGGCATCGCACCTGCCTTCATGGCAAGCAGTAGGTTGTTTGCAGTAGCCATGGCTGGCTCCGCAGCCTTTTTCAAGCCGAGTCGTCTGACCGGTCTGCCTCTGCTACCTTTCCTTGGCCTTTAGCAGGCCAAAGATCGGGCTGCCGACCCGCTCAAGCCGGCAGCCACTCCTGGGCTCCGCTTACTCCCCAATGCAGACATTAATCGACGACTCCGTGTGTGGTGAGTGTGTTCATTTCTCAGCCACAGGGCTCGACCTTTTAGCTCTTGCGTCTGGTCGATGACCCAGCGCTCCCTGTCGCTTTCCGACGCACCTCCTCCTACATATCCTCGGGTTTGGAACCAATTCACTTGCTCTCAACTTGATCGGTCCATAATATCAGGCAGGGCGACTTACATGGCGTCCCTGCCACTGCCATTGTGAACGGCAATGCCGAGAGCTTTGCCACGCCATGCCCGCGAGCCCGAGCCCTGCTTCGCATTACAGGTTTGCTCATGCAGCATGCAGAACTTTGCTGGGCATCGCAAACATGCGCAAAGCAGACTCGGGACAGCCCCCCCTCTCACGCGCTTGCTCAATCTCTTCTCAAAAGGCATCGACGATCCCGATCTTGCCCGCCTTCACTCGTGCCGAACTGGCGAGACTGTAATCGTGCCCTGTGACACACCTTTGGCTAGGTAAAGTCATACTTGCTAGAGGCACACGCTTGCAAACTTGGCTGTCTCCATCTCTCTGTTTCTGTTTCTGTTTCCGTTTCTGTTTCTGTTTCTGTCTCTGTCTCTGTCTCACTCGCTCGCTCGTTTTGGTGGACTGATATCACGTTTTGCAAACCCGTTCTAGGCACGTGATTAATACTGTCACGCCTCGCTGGCAAGAGCGTTTCCAAACAGCAGCTGAAAGTGCTTTGTATGCCTGTCACCGTCGTGTTTTTGATGCGCTTATGTAAGTGGTGAGGCACAAAGCACATCTGGGCGTTGCCACCCCAACTTCAATGCAGCCACAGACATTTCAGGACTGTTCCGTGGTGCTCATTGTCCCCTTGAATGTCATGATGCCCCCTCCGTCTCCCAGGGATCTAAAGGCCAATTCGGTCGTTTTGCCCGCTCTTCATAACTACCACCCTGCTTTTCCCATGGAGCGAGGCATCCACTTGACACTAAGTAAGATTCGATGTCCATCTGCTGCGCGGCTCGTTGCCGCTGCCCTCTCTGTTCGGCATCGTTTGCGTGTCCCGTCACTCATCTGAACGGCTGTGTTTCGCTTACGGTACCTCCATTCAAGTGATCTTACGACGTCAGCTTGAGCGAGCCCAGTTTCCCGAGGTTGTCGTCTTGAGCCTGACAGCTGAGGAATGGCCGGCATACCAGGCACTGCTACCGGCCTATTTTCCTCGCTCGCACAGCGAGGCTGTGCAGTATGCACCCCTGCTGCCAAGTGACCTCGGGGACCCCGTCACGGGCGAGCCGGTGCTTCCAGAGCGTGCGCTTCGTGTGGTGAGCCACATGTCAAGAACGAGTTCGCAGCGCGTGTCTACCGGACCGACTTCTCTGGAAGCTTCACACACCACGCAGTCTGGCGACGTCTTTGTGGATGACGTGGCGGTCATTGAGCAGGAGGGCTTTGATGCCCGCAGTTTCGCCACGCGCCAGTCAGACTTTGACGCACAACGCCAGGAGCAGTTGTATGCGCGCCAAAGCATAGGGCACGAGGAGGGTGCTGAGACATCTCAGCGGCGCCGATACCAGCAACTCCTGCGCTTGGCTCGAGCAAACCCCTTGCCAAGCATGGAGAAACGATGCTTGTTGGAAGTTGGACGTCGCCGCATTCACGGCTCGCCGGTTGTTTTTATCTATGGACGTCGTTTCTTAGCCAAAGACTCGCCCAGCGAGCTAGTGTGCCACTTGGCTGCCCAGCTCGATGCAGTTGTGACAGAACCTTTTATCTGCATCTATTTTCACAGCGCCACGGACAGCGACCAGCGACCGCAATCGGCCTTTCTCCGCTTGCTGGAGGCATACCTCGATCAACGGTGAGCCGCACATGGTGGCGCAGAGCGCCAGCCCTTTGTGTGTTTTGAGCCGTGACTATATACCACTTGTCCGACCCACTCACCAAGCGCTGCGCCCTGGTGCCACAGGTACTTTGATAATTTGGCGTCCTTTTATTTTGTGCACTCGACATGGCTGGCCAAGGTATGCAGCTTGTGATTTCAAAACTCCCGCTGCTTGTAGGCACATATTCTTCCGAGTACAAACCGATGGTGTGTGGCGGTCGCAGCTATGCTGACGTGCTGCTGCCTCCCCGGGTGCATTGCTGAAAGGTGGCCATTTGGTGGACAGTCCCTGCACGCTTGCGAGCACGAATTACACACTGTTCTTCGGTAAGATTGATCATTTTGCCGAGCTTGATCCGCCTGCAAGGTGCTCTTTCATTGCGTGCTGCCTCGAGGTGGCGTGTGGTGAGTCAAGTGGGTCTGATATCTTGCGCTGACTGTTGCAGCTAGCGGAGCTTACTGGCAAGTTGGGCACAGAAATGAGCGGATTACCGGGGTATATCTACGAAGCAGATGCCGAGGTATGCCTTCATTTCCCGTCCATATGTCACTGGGAAGAGAGCTCACCCTGCTGCATTGTTCCCCCCCCCCCCCCGCCTCCCACCTGTACCGGGCGCCCATGCTTTGCCTTGATTCAAGTTAAACGGACAGCCGCAGCCTGAATCGTCAAGCGCCTCGCTGGGGCATTTGTGAGTCGGTGCTTGGAGGGTGACACTCTGCTGCCAAACTTTATCCAACCGCCCGATTGCCTGGGCCTGGTCGAGCAACCGGTGGGCAAAGAATCTGATCTTTAAAGGATAGGAAGAAATGTAGCGCATAGCGGAGGGCGGCACTCGCCTCGTAGTCCAGAACCTGTTTGTTGGCGGTTGTTCATCCAGTTCAGTTGAACAAATACGCTCGATGCTCATCACAATCAGGTGTAATCAGTGGATCGTTCAAGCTCAAGCTCACATGTGAACGAACACCATCAACTTTAAACACCAACAACAAGTGTGCTAACACATCTAACATGAGAAGAGATGTGCATCTTTTTACTGTATCTTTTTACTGTTTGTTGATCGCGGAAAGACGAGTGTGGCCGACTGGATTGGGGCGGGGGTTAAAAGAACCATGTTGAGCTTTCAGGTCGTGGACGCATTCGTGCGGAATGGGGCTGCCTACACGGGCAACCCGGCCTGCGTGATCGTGCTGGGCTCGGAAGAGAAGCTCACGAGCTTCCAGATGCAAGCCCTTGCTGTGTGCGTGACCGCGTTCCTGACGCGATCTTTCGGCCATGGCAGCGCTGGCTGCAGACAAGGGTCGGGTCACAAGGGGTTAATGATGTGTGATCTTGGGATGCGGTAGGGAGATGAACTTGAGCGAAACATGCTTCCTGCAGCCCGAAGGACCAGATCAGTTCAACATTCGCTGGTTCACGCCGGGGGGCGAGGTGAGGGGTGCGCTTGGGTGCCCGGCGTTGCTGCGAGATGTCAGGCATAACAGTGTCATCAACAGTCTCAGCGTCTTGCATGCATGGCGTGACCACGTGCCTGGACCACCTGTAGGTAGATCTGTGTGGGCATGCCACACTTGCGGCTGCTCATTCATTGTGGGCCCAAGGCTTGGGTATGTCTATTGACCAAGCAATGCGCATCGCCTTCGCTGTCTAGCTCTCAACTTCAGCGCTTGCTCCACAGTGACTGGCTCAACGGTTTCGTTTTCAAGTCTCTCAGGGCCGCTGAGTGCACACCGCGAGGAGGATGGGTGAGAGCACGGGCATGAAATGTTCGGGGCCTCTTTACCCATTCTGCAGCGGCTCTTAAAGTGACACGCCCGCTTTGCCGTTTGCCCGCAGGCGCGTGACGCTGAACTTTCCGGAGGAAGTGATACAGCCCCAAGCAGCCCCGCCACAGCTACTGCCTGCGCTTGGTCTTGAGCCAAGTCAAGTTGTGTTTGTCGGGGCCAACCGCTTGGACATGCTGGTGAGCTTGCTCTTTCACCAGATCTTCCGATGATAGTTGAACCGTGTCGATCATGATGCAACGTGTGCTTGTCATGATAGGTCGAGATTGACGGGGGCCTGCCTGCCTTGATGGCCATCAAGCCAATCTTCTCACAGTTGGCCGACTTGGAGGTGCGGTCAATCAAAGATGGGGCTTGATTGACGCCGCCCGGCTTACCTCTCACGCGCGGTGGGATGTGGACGATGCGGGGGCTTCAGGGCGCGCGTTGTGTCATTGTCACCACACGGATCGACGAGGCGTCAAGAGCTTCGAGTCCATTTGAAGCCGCCGTGGCCTCGCGCGTTTTTGCCCCTGTGTTTGGCATCGATGAAGGTATGGCACAATGTCCCAAAGGAGGAATGAATCCTCTGCGTGCTGTCCGCTGCTGCGTTGCATCTTTAGACCGAACCCCCTTGCCGACTCCTTGTGCACACACTACCCTCAGCAACTTCTATCCTGTGAACCTTTTCAACACCCTTTGCTGCTCGCCGGCTCTCGACAATCGGCTGCAGATCCCGTCACTGGCTCATCGCACTGCGGCATTGGACCATACTGGATAAGCAAGCTGGGCTGCGACCCAGTCGAGGGCATACGCTGCCGACAGGTTTGGCCAGCTGCTTGCACACAACTTGAAGTTGCGCAGACCGACCTGACACTCATGCAATCGATCCTCGCCACTCCCTTCTGCTGGATATAATATGTTCAGGCATCACGACGAGGTGGTGACTTGTTTGTGCGATGGCTGCGCGACCAGAACCGGGTCTCGCTGACAGGTGAGGCCGTGGTGGTCCATGCCGGTAAATACCTGGTTTTACCCCCTCCCGAGCAGAGCACGTGACAGAGATCTTGATTAAGAATAGATGATGCTCGATTTCTTGACCTCATGCGGGCACTGCCGGGATCTCACAAGTGAACTGGAAGAACACACGCGCGCACACAAGCATACACGACCGAGTGCCAAATGCACAACCCAAGCACAAAGCAAAAACAGAAAAAAAAAAGCTGAAAAGGGAGTTCGGATGATGATCACTTTTGAAAAGGGCAGGACTGTCGCCGCATCTGTTGATCAGGAGCGCATCGCCTCTGCTAGCACATGTGACCCGAGGCGGGGCAAGTGTCACAGGATGTATCACAGATTGACAATATGATCGAACTGGCGCGCATTGGTATCAGGGCAGAAAGAAGAAAGGAGGCTTTCATGGCTTGCAGCGCTTTGAATCCGTGCCATTAGGTGAGTGGGGGCGACGGTATGCGTGCAGAAGAGCAGAGGTCCGCCTCGAGCATTTGAGGCAAAGGGAAGCAGAATGGGAAAGAGAAGAAAGAAGCGAGAGAAATAACGGAGCGGGGTCTGTTCCCGAAGAGACACTGGACACTGGGGTCAATTACTTGCGGTTGGCACGAACGACGGGAAGCTTGCCATCTGCAGGTGGGGGGCGTGCTTCAAATGCAGCGCTGACATAAGAGTCTTTGGCAGGGCGGTCACGGAGATAGTACAGTTTGGCGCGCCGCCGGCGGGCATGATCCAGGACTTCAATGTTCTTGATCATTGGTGAGTGGGTGAAGAAGAAATGCTCGTATCCAATGCCGTTTTCAGCATTGCGAATGATAAAGTTGGAGCCAAGGCCCTTGTTTCGTTTGGCAATGACGAGACCAACCGAGCGCTGAGTGTTGGTTTTGCTCAGCGCATCCGTGTAGGTCACGGCTACGGTACAGCCTGCGCCAAACTCGGGAATCTGTCGCGCGCGGGAGCGATGGTGAATCTCCTCGCGCATCAAGGCCGTCATGACGTTGCAGCGCTGGGCGCGCGGTGAGAAGTCAATTGCCACCTCCACCTTGGGCGGAGCAGCAGCTTCCTCCTTCTCGGCCAAGCGCTGACGCCGCATATCCTCCAGACGACGCTTCTTCTTGCTCTGCTTGGCTATGGAAGGGAACAAGCACATGACGGGAATTGAGAGCAATGCAAAAACATGTGCTTTCCTCTGCGTATACTTTGTTGACTCAAAGGGAAAGCGGTATGTTTGTGCAACATAGCGGCGCGGGCGTTGAGAGGGCGATAGCAAACGGCTGATGGCACATACTGGGGCCGCTCGCCTTGGCGTAGGTGCGCTGTTGCTGTTGCTGAACCAAAGCCGCCGTCAACGCTGGGCTTTGAGGCATGGTGCGTCGGACAGCATTGCACAGAATAGTGGCATGCGATGCCGATGCCCCCCGCAACAAGGCCGTGCGCAACCAGAGACCAGAAGCCCCCGTCGAAACGGCGGCAGCAGCAGATGACCACATGGTGCCGCTAAAAAAAAAAAAAAAATCCAAAGAAAGAGAGAGAGAGAGAGAGAGAGAGAGAGAGAGAGAGAGAGAGAGAGAGAGAGAGAGAGAGAGAGAGAGAGAGAGAGAGAGAGCGAGGCTATGGATGAGATAGTGTGACCAGGAGTACACTCTTCTGCTACCAGCTGACATGTGAGCAAAGTGCCACCTTTATCACACAATCACAAGACCCGTTGACAACCATCGCGATGCGATTCACACTCTCACACACACTCTCTCTCTGAATTTTTTTTTTTCAATTTTTGCTTTAGATGGTCCATCGGTGAGGCGTGCTGGCCCCCGAGCCTTGTGGTGCTGGCACTCGGGCTGACCGATCGGGCCTGGCCAGACTCGAATGTGCTGTTGGGTTGTGAGCTTAACACTTGCCACTGGCACACGCCGATTTTAATTGACTCATCCTGTTGATACACGCGTGTTCTGCACCTCGTTACTTTGCAGCTCTGCTTCCGAGAGCCTGGCCAGAAACCATTGATAGACCAACAGGGCCGACCTATTTGGTAGCTGGTCGCGTGCCAGCCAGCTGGTGCCCAGTGTTGGAATCTGCTGGTCTATGCAGATACTCTACCGTTCTGGACGATGGATACAGCTGGTCCAGCCCAAACCCACCAAGAGCGTCGCTGAACCAGGCGACTCGCTAGCATAGCTGGGCTGGCTCAAGAGTGTTCCCAAATCGGGCTTCTCCTTGAGGGCAGCTGTGGTCGCGCTGCTCCCCCTGCATTGTTACTTCATACCCTCCCTTCTCCTTTTGCTTACCTCAAAGACACAATGGCGCAGCTGGTCCAGGCACGCCCTGATGCCATTCGCTTCATCATCAATGCCGAGGTTCGGACGTCAGCCTCGCTGAAGCAGGCGCGCTTTCGGTTACGGTGCATGTTCACATCTTGGCTTGACTTTTTCACCAGGAAACTGGCTCGTACCTCGAATATGAGGTGGAGCTCCAGAATGTCTCGGGTCGCAGCTGGACCTTGCGTTGTGGCCCAGCCCCACCGGTGGGATTCTCATCGTCACAGACTCAGCGTGTTCCGCCCCCGTACTGCCTGCTAGCTTTGTAGCTCATGAGCCTTGTTTGGTATTGCACAGATTGCCACCGTCTTTTTTGCCGGCGAACAGGACATGGTTCGCCTCGCGCCAGGAATGGTACGTGCGCGTATAAATCCCCCCCCCCCCCACACACCACACACACATGCCTTGCAACGGGCACGGTTGCCGTGGCGAGAGCCGCATGCCATGCACATGTGCTGCAAAGCCGTTGCCCGAGTTAACATGCGCATTGCCGCGCCGAGTTAGATGATCAAAGCCTATGTGGTCGTTGAAGCCGTACCCAACCCTTCAGAACATGAGCTCATCTTTGATATCGAGGACGCAGAACCGCTGCGTGTGCCCCTTGTCGCACTCGAGCCCGTTCCAGCGGTGAGCGTGCTTGGCCTTCTATGCTGCTTTCTTTTCATCAACTGCACAGCTTGTGCAGCTGAAGCAATGTTCATGATTTACACGACCATGCTTCGGTCGCGCCAACTTACCACCAATTCGTCCCTTGGGCTTGTCGCGCCTAGCTTCACGTCCAGGCTGATCTCAATTTTGGGGAGGTCATTGAGGACGGCGAAGTGCATACGCGCCAATTGATTATTTGCAACGTGGGCGATGCGGATGCTGACGTGGTCTTGGACACGTCTGAGCTGCCCGGGCACGTCAATGCCACCCCCAATCATGGTATGTCCCCTCCGTTTATTCGTCATGGCCTCGAACCCCATGGCGCCCCTGTGTGCACCAAGCTGCCTGCACTCTCAACGAGGTGACGAATATCAATAGGTACGATTGTGGCCGGAGGTGGTGAATTGGCGGTGCGCGTGGACTTTGCTGCAGCTCAGCCCGGCCACACGTCCGCCAACCTCAACATCATTTGCAATGGCAAACAAGACACGGCCGTTCCCATTGCCGGAGATGTGATTCGCCAGCGCCTGCTTCTGCAGAAACCGGGCCGGAGCGAGACCGTGGCGGCTCAAGATATCGGCTATTTTTATTACAACACCACCCGCAGTCTCCGCGTCACCATCTACAATGATCGTCCGTGTGCCACTGATTTCTACACCAAATTGGAGCGCCAGCGCATCTGGGTATATACCGCCAATGGTCGAGAAGGCTGCGATACTTTCACCGACACGCTAGATATCGTCCAGGTTCAGCCCGCTGAAGGCCACCTGGCTCCCCAAGAAAAAATGGTCTTGACCATCACCGTCAACCCCAAGCTCACAGCTGAACAACGGCAAATCAGCCGAGTACGCTTCTTTCACTCCCGGCATGGTGTCTGAAGCCCATTTCAGTCCCTGGCAGCCTGATCATTCCATGCAACACTCCTTAATAACCCGTGGGCCGTGTGTCTGATAGGCTTACGCTTGCCGGCGCGACTTTGAGTTTGATTTGGCTCTTTGTGCTGTCAACACCGATCTACGAGCCCCCTTTCGCCTTTCGGCGACCGCTGTTGTCCCCCAATTTGAGGTTTCGGACTCACAGGTCACGTTTGACGGTACTCCGCTCGGGGAAACCACGGTAGGTCACTTGTCACGCATTTTGGGCTTGATCTGGCATGCCTCAGTTAGCCAGCTCGCTGTGGCCGGGCAAAACGTTCTTGCTGACTCATTTTCTGGACAACGTCCGGCTACAATCTGGCTGGACTGGATGTAGACTGCCAGCTTTCAGATCGCCAACACATCAAAACACCTAGCCTTGTCTTACGATATTGAGCAGATTGCTCACTTCCTCTGCGAGCCGGAGATGGGTCTGCTGGAGCCTCAGCAAACGCAGACGATCCAGGTCTTTTTTACACCTCAACAACTGGGTCGCATTTCACGTACACTGACCATCAAAGTCGGCAAGCGCACGACCACCTACCGTGTCAAGGTCCGATGACAGCTGGCCCGTCTGCCCTTGCCACATTGACCCCTCACGTCGCACACTTCCCCACAATCTGGATTCCCATGACAGCTGCTTGGTACCGGCTCCATGGTACCCAACGAGGACGTGCGCCAGCGCAAGGCCTTCAAGGCGCAACACGGTGAGGCCTATGCCCGACTGGCCCATATAAGCAAGCATTCGTGCGCGTGTGACCTCGCTTCTCACTCGCACAAACAATGGGATAGGCATGCTGATCCAGCCTCCTTTAAGGAAGAAAATGCCCGGGCTACATGAGAATCGTGATCACCCAAGTCGCTCGCCCCCGGCAAGTCGTGTCAGCTTTCAGCGACGACCCGGTTCCGGGGCTCGTCTCAAGCCCATTGGGCAGGTAGGGCCGGCGAGAATGCATTCAGTCCTTCAAATTTGTGACGAGCTTGGTTCCTCGCCCACCCATATAAATTTGTTCCTCTCTCTCTCTCTCTCTCTCTCTCTCTCTCTCTCTCTCTCTCTCTCTCTCTCTCTCTCTCTCTCTCTCTCTCTCTCTCTCTCTCTCTCTCTCTCTCTCTCTCTCTCTCTCTCTCTCTCTCTCTCTCTCTCTCTCTCTCTCTCTCTCTCTCTCTCTCTCTCTCTCACCCCCACCCCGCTGCCTCGACCAAAAACCCATTGCCGAGGTAGACGGAGCGGAACCCCATGCTGACGCCAAGTCAAATCCAGGCGTTGTTCTTCTCGTGTGATAGCACGGTCGACTTTGGCAGTGTATGTGAAGGGAGCCGAAATCAACAAGAAGTGACGATTCGCAACACCTTGGACCGTCCGCTGGAACTGTCTTTCCGGTGTTCTCGCGCAGAGCTTTCCAACAGCACAATCGTTGAGCGTCTGGCTCCGGGTGAAGAAGGTCGCTTGTTGCTTGTGCTCGATGGCATCACTGCCTCAACAGTAAGCAACGCAGCCTTTCGAGCAAACAGCCAACGCCCATGACCACAACTGACGTTGACCAAATACTGGATCCTCTTGTTGCGCATAGCCACGAGACCTGCTGGTGCCGGTGGGCATTGGAGTCAACGCACAGCAAGAACGCCGCATATCTGTGCGAGCTATCGTGGTGCCGTTTGCCATCAAAGCCGAACCAGATGCCCTTGTCATTTCGCCCGGCACCATCATTCATCGCCACAAGCCTTCCGCCACCTGTACACTTTTCAACCCCTTTGGCCGTGAGGCGCGGTTCAAGTGGCTGCCCGAGCGCTCGGCCTCAGCCTTTACCATGCTGCCAGGTTCGATTTTTTTCTTTTTGTTTTTTTTCTCTTGTTTTTTTTTCTTTTGCCAACTTGCTTCAAGCAGCTGTTATGGCATCCACAGGAACACCACTTTGCCCTGCCATGACCGTCGCTTGATCTTTGTCCTCGATATTTCGGATGAAAGTTTTCTCACCCCTCCTGTTTCTTTCTCTTGCTTTCTATGCCTCTGTTTTTTTTTTTGTTTGTTTGGTTTTGCCTTTTGGGCGGTGAACAGCGGAGGGCGTCCTGGCACCGCGCAGCTCCCAACACATCCAGGTCGTCCTTAACCCAAACGCGGCAGACACACGAGCTTGTCACATGCAGCTGGTTGTTGACGAAGCACAGGAGCAGACGGTATAAGATACACACCCCTGATACCCTGGTGCCCGCCCTCTCTTGGCTGCTGACTGTTGATGTTGATGGCTTTGCGTTTAGGCGATTGTGTGCCGGGCCAGCTTCAAGGGAGCGGACTGTCGGTTTCCCGAATCGCGCACAATGCTTGGTGCTCTGCTGTTGGACTCGGACAACTCGCGCGATGCCGTGGTCTATAATCAAGGCACCAGCGATGCCTATTTTTCAGTTGACATCACGGATTGCAAGGTCTGGAATCTCGCACCGACACGCGATCCAAGCTGTGCATGCACACTCATGGTCACACCATCCGGCATGTGCTATTTCGTAGCGCGCCGCTGTTGCTGTTTCACCCGGCGTTGGCATGGTGCCAGCCGGTGGCAAACGAACTCTGCGCTTGCATGTGCACCCGGAGAGCGTGGGCAAATTTGAAGCCAAACTTCAGGTTGGGGCAATGATGAGCAAACCGAGGCGCACGAGGGGTGGGGGCGGGCTTTTTTTGCTGCTTCTCTCTTCTTCTTCTTCTTCTTCTTCTTTATTCCCCCTCCTTTTTTTTTTTTTTTTTTTTTTTTTTTTTTTTTTTTTTTTTTTTTTTTTTTTCTTGT